TAGAGGGAAGGCAGTTAGTCATCATCACCCACCGCCAACGCTTGGAGTACTCTTTTACCAACGAATAGTGGGATGGACCGTCACATTATAACGTCCCCACGGCTGAAATGGCGAGCATGTTTGGTGGGACGGGGATTCGAACCCGCGACCCGCAGATTGTAAGTCGAGCTCCCTAACCACCTTGCCATGCCAGGCCATTTCTGTAGGATCCCCTACTGTTGTAGTCAACTAATATGTAAATAAATACATGACATTGAAGCCAGGAGATTCGATGTTACCTTTTAATACTATTGAAATTCATTGTTTTGTAAAACATTAAAAAAAGGGTGTTCCTTAGTTGGCTGCCCCCCAGTGGCACAGCGGTATGTCTGCGGACTTACAACGCTAGAATCCGGGGTTCGATAGCACAGATAGCCCATTGTGTAGCTTTGTGCTTAATTACAAACAAACAAACTTAGTTCGTAATTCTTTGTGTGCGGTCAGTTCCATAGTTCTACATTTCATTTTTTTACCATCAATATCACAAACTTAGTTCGTAATTCTTTGTGTGCGGTCAGTTCCATAGTTCTACATTTCATTTTTTACCATCAATATCACAAACTTAGTTCGTAATTCTTTGTGTGCGGTCAGTTCCATAGTTCTACATTTCATTTTTTTTAACATCAATGTTTCAGCTTTTTGTTCGGTTTTAAGCACAAAGCTTCAGAATGGGCTGTCTGTTCTGTGCCCACTTCAGGGACCGAACTCCTCCAGGCGGATATCCGAACGTTGTAATTTATTCTTAGCTTTTAGGGTTAGGTGAGTTAATATAGACAATATTGTTTTTATTTCTTTAAAGTTATTTCAAAATATTTGCGTTGTGGTACTTTGTGAGTAACACTTATTACAATTTACGGTAGGTTTTCCAGAAATCCTAGTAAACACGTAACACGGAATTTAAATTCTCAAAAGTGGCTGCACTAGTTATAGCGCTAATATAATTTAGTATCTTTATTTCATACAAGACAGTGACGTGCGCAGAGGGGGTTCAAGCCCCAGCCCTTATGCTCCAAAAGTTCCATTTTTTCTCAGTCATAAAAAATTGTCGACAACAACTAAAAGACAATCCTGATTCCACCCCTACCTTGCTGTGAGTTATTAGGGGGAAATAATTTAAGCTTTACAATCAATACCACACATGGACTTGTAGGTCTTTACAGTAAAAACATACAAAAACACAATTTAAGCTTTACAATCAATACCACACATGGACTTGTAGGTCTTTACAATAAAAACAAACAAAAAACAATTTAAGCTTTGCAACCAATACCACACATGAACGTGTAGGTCTTTACAGTAAAAACAAACAAAAAACAATTTAAGCTTTACAATCAATACCACACATGAACTTGTAGGTCTTTACAGTAAAAACAAACAAAAACAATTTAAGCTTTGCAACCAATACCACACATGAACGTGTAGGTCTTTACAGTAAAAACAAACAAAAAACAATTTAAGCTTTACAATCAATACCACACATGGACTTGTAGGTCTTTACAGTAAAAACAAACAAAAACTTATGATATGCTATTAAATGTTATCTCGCAAGAAGTCACTGTTTAGTTAGTGTTAACACGCAAGAAGTCACTGTTTAGTTAGTGCTAACACGCAAGAAGTCACTG